TCTCTTTGGTACTCGAGTCAGCTCATCTGCCAAATTCTGCTCCGACGCAACAAGAGTAACATCAACTTTGAGGCCATATTCGTGGATTAGCTGTTGCAGGATTGTCAACCTTCATCGAACCAGCATCTCGGTAGCCGCTTTGGTTCTTACTCAGGATCTTCCCGTCAGTGTCAGTCGGTTAACCAATGGTAGACGCACATGGAGTCTGTGTGTAGATGAACTGTTTTGGCCTGCCATTGCAGTGAAAGGTTTGAGACCTTTCACGGTGGTGTCAAGCTCTGCTAAATTTATATACTGAGTGTCGTTCGTCGGACAAAGCCAGCATGCATCCTCCAGGATGTCACCATGTCTCTCCAACACCACGCCAGTCGCCAATGAGCTCGCATCAACCCATGCATTTATCTCTTCTCCAGATACATTCCAGTTCCCTCGAACAGGGTCATCACGGGTGATCCTCACCAGTACTTCTTCCATGACTTGCCTGAGAGAGACGTCGTCTATCGGGTCATCCCATCCCTTGGTCTTCATGGCTATGCATCTCTTTAGAACTCCGGCTATTACGTGCAGCCAGCCGCAAACAGGGAAGTGGCCCACCAACTTCCCACACCAGGAAAATATGGTACATCGTGTCATCTCAGCCGGGGGTTCTGGAATGGCAGTTCCTCGCTTCCAACGTAAAGTGTCACACTCCCCCCAGACCTTAAGACCCAGCACTTTAGCTCCGTGCTTTAGGCGCTCAGGGTTTTTACAAGTTAAACCAGAGGATTCCAACTTGGTCTTGACCTCATCTGCAGATAATGCGTTCTCATTTACATATATGTCATCAATATAGGATGACATCACTTTTTTCATCTGTTCTTCTTGTGCCAGCACTGTACTGACGATAGCCTTCATGATCATTGGTGCCATGTTTAGCCCAAGCCCAACCGCGTGAAGCAATATCTTTTCCCCTAGATTAGTACAGTTTGAAATGCCCAGAGAGACTCGTGGACTCGTACTTGTAAGTAGGCCCTTCGCATGTCAAGCAGTGCCACATTAACTCCTTGCTGATGCCACTCCCTCAATCTGGATGTACATACGTCTGCATCCGCAGTGAAGGCATCCATGTGTTCGTTGAGCTCTCTGTAGTCCATCACCGGGTGCACCTTGCCTTTGGTATGTTTTACGACAGCCATTAGAGGAATCAAACCCTTAGGAGGTCCTAGTCATTCCTGGGGGTATGCGATCAACCAACCATTTGTGATCCACATTTGCAATTCCTTCTCGTACTCTCCCCTGATGTTATCGGGTATCTTATATTCTGCAACCTTATTACGAAGTAGAGTTGGTGTGTCTTTCAAGGTCCATTTCCACTTGGCAGTCCATATCCTCTTGGTATGATCAAAAGCGGCCTCAAAATCCAGTTCTTTGACACAAAGGGCTGCACATGCTTGTTTTCCTCTACCAAGTTTCACATTTCCGGCTAGTGTGATCATGACACCTCCTAGTGCTCGTATTGCGTCAATTCAGATCATTATGTCATAACCGACGGACCTCTCACGAGCCACTAAAACGTTGACCTTGCTATAACCGCCTCCATGAGTGAGAATCAACACGGTTCCAACTCCACAACATGCCCGGGAAATTCCATCAATTGTCCGCATTTCTACTTGTTGTTCACTCCATACATTACATCGGTCAGCACTAATTATCGATCGGGAACATCCAGTGTCGACGAGCACCGAACATCGCACACCATCAATTTGCGTGTTAACTACAGGCAATGCTGCATTTACTGGCCAAGAGGGGGTGAGGCTAGCGATGGCACCTTGTCCCTGGACCCTTTTCCTGAACAATTTCGCACTATGTGGCCCAGCTCGTTACAGCGATGGCAGCGCAATCGCTCCCATGTTCATTGGTTATTGGCACCTCCTGCATTACCCTGGCCTCGACAGTGTCTGGAATAGTGGTTACGACCATCACATCTGTAGCATTGTGGGCTTTCTCGTGGCCTTAGCACGGCAGAATCACTTGCAGCATGTTGCCTCCCAGACAGTGTCTTGGTCATTCTTGCAGCCGCTGCAACCATTTCTGTGTCTTTCAGAATATTTCGGGCCCTGGCTAGCAATTCATCGATGCCCAGTTCGTCCAGTCTCAAGGATGATCGCACCAGCTGACTAACATCATCATCACCAGCCAAAAAAGCACATTCCAATATGCGGTCAGTTGCTCTGCCAAACGGTACCGCTAGCTTCTTTAAATCAGCTAGATAGACGTCCACCGTCTCGCCTGGTTCGAGTCATCGCCTGACAAACTGCTTCCACGCGATGAAGGAGTCTGTCCCAAAAGCAGTGTACAGGTCACACTTAATTTCTTCTAAATCTGCATCATCCTTGAGGTGTTGGTATACCACATAGGCCCCTTTCGTGAGTCTCAATGGGATCACCGTCACTGGTTCTTTCACTTTAAATAGTCTGCAGACCCGTTCAGCTTTTTCGAACCATTCGATGAGAGATGGGCCCATGGGAGAGCCGTCAAATTCAGGAATTAATTTCAGGTCGAATTTATCCATAGTTGACAAGTGCCGAAATAGCTTGTAGTTGTTGGTGTTGATGCAATCCGTGACGTCTGACGAAACTTTCTGAACAAAACACAATATTTTCTTGATCCGCCTAGTGTAAAACCGCAACGATCATCAACTCCTTCCAATCTCTAACTGCCCAGACGCTGGTGTTCAGTGTTTTTTATGTTCTTTTCTGCCTTCTTTCATTTGCATGCATGAATCCACTTTCCGTGGCTTTACGAGAATGTCCACGTGAGGATACGTGACCAGCTTGCCAGAGGCAGCCATGTTTCTTTTTCCGGTCAAGAAGATAAACCTTGCACGTGGAACATATATGCTGCCATTTGCGATCAGGTGGGAGAATATTTTCGTTCCAATTATCACTACAGTTCCTAGCTTAACTACAAGCCAAATGGCTGCCTTTTCTCATCAATAGCATGATATTGTAGAGACAGAAAGATGGTACAATGTCATTTTCTTCTTGTGTTGTTTCAAAAAGCCTTTAACACCATCTAACAGGTTAGAATTGGATGGCCATAAATTACCACTTCTCTGATATGAAAGAAAAATTGCTGGCTCTGTAGAGAAACTGTGCACCGACCCAGTCTGCCCTGGAAAAAATAACAGCAATTTTTGTGATCTGCACCATGACATCAAAGAAGCAGATCTTGGTTCAGGTCACTTTACCCACACTCCTCTGCCATCAGCAACAGCAAAAAAAAAAAAAAAAAAAAAGGATGTTGAAAAAAACAAAGATGAAGAGTGGCAAATAGTAGGGAAATATAGCTTTGGACACCTGGGTTGAAATACCTCACTAATGATGAGGCTGATAATTCAGAATATGCTCTGAGTTGGCAAAATATCTTTCACAGCAGGACTGGCCATTTCATGAGAATGTGTCTATTGCAGTGAATTGGAGGAGTCTATTGAGCACACCTTTTTTCACTGGATATTGTGTGAAGTTACTGAAGGCTACATGGTCTGCATGCTGCTTGGGCAATTCTTTGTCCTGGAAGCCAGTTCTGTTCATAGCAATGTAAGCTCATTGTCAGACAGGAGGAAGCACTATGTGCCTTGTAGTATGGACAATAAGGATGAATGAAGTCCACAAAGTATTACCACTTTCTTGCATTCATCAAGCACTAGCTGAAGGTCAAAATCAGGGTGGAGAGGATTTTGCTGAAACTGGATGATTTGTGTGGATGGTGCTAACCCTGAGTGGCATCTTGAACTGACTGGCTGAAGGACATGTTCTTCTGAGAAAAAAACATGCCTAGCTATCCCAGTTAAATTAAAATAATTCAAGTTTTGTTTCAGTTCCATGAAATTGTTTAACTTAGCTTAGGAGTAAATCATTATCAGCTTCTTTTTTTGTTTTTTTTAGTCCCCACATTTCTGTTTTTCATTTTCCCCTTCCAGGATTCATAGTTCTTTGGAGCTGTGGGAACATTTCATTTTTGGTTTTATTTTATTTTTTCTTCTATACATTCCCACTGAATTTTTACCCAGTTAACTTGCCAGTCATTAGGTTGTGGGGAGGATTCTAAACTAACACATATTTTCATTATAATTATCATTCAAATCACAGGGGGTTTCTTTTTATATAAATAAAATCATGTCTCATTCCCTCTCCCACTTGTTTGCAAATATTATTATATGAGGTTTAGAAATTTATGAAGAACATGCTTGTCTATGGTCATTGTGGTAAGAATGTGTTAGTATAAATATGCAAGGAATATTAAAGTGTGTTTGGGTCAGTCAATGTGATTAAATAAGTCAAAGTTAGAACAGTGATGTCCAGCCTCTCCCATTTTTGGGGCTGTTATAGACAAGCGTATGGTTGCAAGAAAGAAATACGACAACAGCAGAAATAGATTTATGTGATTTATTTCAATAGGAACGTGTGGATTTGGGACAGCTACCTTGTGGTATAGTTCATAGGCCGGCTGAAGATCTGGGTTGATCTCTCATAGTAGTTCTCGCTGGTTGGCATGGCACTACTGCTGCTGGCTGCTGTTGACCGCTCAGCCTGACCGTGACAGGTCTCTTCCCTGGCCTCCTGTTGACTGCTGTTGTACTTCCGTGTGACCCCTTTTATGGCGTTTTTTATGGCTTAACAGGCTCGAAAAACAACGCGAGTATAATTAGGAGGGAAGCATTTTTATTGGTCGAAAAATAGAAACACTTTAAAATATTATTTTATTTTTCGACCGGAACACGTTTGTCGGGAACATTTGTAAATAAAGAAATGGTCATTTTGTGATGAGGCCTTGTCCCGTTCACATCCGGCTCTCGCTCTTGAGTATGTAAATCAGCCAAGATATGTCTTATTTTATTTTATAACAGGGCCTTGCACAACATTTTGTATATTTTACAAATAAGTAATCATTCCTAGCAGATTTTAATGCAAAACAAAAACTTAAGCTAATCAATTCAAAACAGGCAAAGATTTACTCACATAATTATAACCACCAACATCATGAGTATCAATCCCCATAAAATGCCCCAATCCATGAGGCATGAAAACAGCACCCAGGTACACTTCCATCATTCTATCTACATCACCCTGAAGCAGTCCAGCAGCCTTTAGTTCCTCCAGTTGAACTCTTTCAGCTAATTTATGCATGTCAACCCAATTCACTCCTGAAAAATATAAAATGGTTTTAACTAAATCCCACTGCCATGAATTACTTTTGTATGTAGAAAAGAGCAATCAGAATACATTTTAAACATAGATGAGAAAGGAAAAAAATATGATAAATTATGCAAATAAAATGGTGGATAACAGATTATTTTTAAAAAGAGGAAGAAAAAGAAAATTAGAATTTTTGCAGGATTTGCATCAGTCATCAAGCAAACTGTCATATCAATTCATTCATTATACACTATATAAAGGTTTTGGTCAAAATGGTCTTTACATGAAAATATATTAGAATTTTTTTCTAAATGAAATCTTATTCATAAAGAGAATACAGATTAAGAAAAAATGTTTAAGCTAAAATCACTATTTACAGTGAATATTATCATGGGAAATTTATTTTTTTTTTACACATTATCCAATAGATCTAGCTTAAGAGAGAAAATTCTACTCATCACTTCATCAGAATGATATATCACTCTAACTTTTATATTATTTTTAGTTGATAGTGATTTCAAATATACTTATGTTTGAACTTCATCTGTAATCTTAATGAGAAAACAATATTTTGTGGCATATCAACATCTATTAAAATTATTTATAGTCAAGCATCAGTTTCTTTTGACACTGTATCAGTGTGGTGACAAATGTAAAAAAAATAAAATAAAAAATAAAAAAAGAATTCAAATTAAAACAAAGGCATTTTCTCTCCTTTAAAGCACAATCTCTCTCTCTCTCACTCTTTCTGCCCTTTTCTCTCCACTAATGAGAATGCAACCCTGAAATAAAAAAGAGGAAGAAAAGACTGAACAATTGCTGTGAAATGGAAGTTTGTTGATCCAGGTCTAATTATTGTGACTAGAAATCTATCAAAATAAGAGAGGCTTCATACATAACTTTTGTCTTAAAAAAAAAAAAGAAAAAGGAACATCTGAAAATAATTGTGGCCAATCAAAAAAAAACAAAGAGACTTTTGATGTTAACCAAAACTAGTCTGGAGCCTTTCTTAAGTGTATATAAAGAGTGACCATCTACTGAAAACATTTTTCCGCACTTTTGAGGGCTGAGAAAAACAGCAGATCAACACCTGCAACAAGTTTCCAAAATAATAACACTCCCAACAGCTACCAAAGTCTGACTTGTAAACTATCAACTACCCAGCTGAATAAACTTTCACCAACACAAATTACAAAGGACTTGCTCCAATTGAAGTCAAATAAATAATTATTTGATTCTGTTCATTTATTCTGAAGTTTCTGAAAAATATTACTAAGATCCTCTGGTGTCTCTCCATAGCATCACACATTTTCTGATGCATTCCTTTGCAGACCTTGATCACTGTTCTCATATGCATGAGGGCATTCATGTGCCCAATGAAATTTTGAGTCACATGACACATCTTGAAACTCACCCACCACAACCCACAGGATTTCAATTATGAACATATGACTATATAAGACGTTGCCTGGTTGAGTTTATCTCTGTTTCTGTTTTAAGCAAATTGTACAATTTATTAAAGGCAACAAATTGCCATCTCCCTTTATCTGGTAGAAATAATTCATCCAGTTTTTGAATGATAATGTCCATATCTGTCCCTGTTTCCAAATCTTCACTGTCTATCTCTGAAGAGGCAGCTCTGGCCTTTCCACTTAAAAGATAGGTAAATGGCCAAATGTACCAGTATGGCATGTGGAATGATAATTTTGAAAATGTATGTTTCTTTCAGGATTTGAAACTTGATTTGCTAATCTAAACGAAAGAAAATATGATGTTAACAGGTACGGAATATGTGTATGTGCATTAGTCATTGGAGTTTGTTCAGTTATCTAAATCTTCAGGTAACAAATATGTTCCTATCAAAAATTGAGGTTAAAAGGTTAGTGAACAGTATTGAACACAGCTTCAAGACACCTATTTCTGAAGAAAACACCAGGAAGGAAAGAAAAGAAAGAAATAGAGAAAGTCTATGCTGAAAACTGTCATGTAAAGCCAGTTCATCTTACTGTGAAATTCCTAGCCAAGTAAAACCAGAATCCCTACTGTGTATCAGTTAAGAGGAGGACAAAGAACCTAATATTGTAAAACTATTTTCCAACAGGTGTGAATCACCTCCAAAACACTCTGCCCTTCTCCAGAAAAATGTTAATTTTTATATAAACAGCTAATAGCAGTCACTCAGAGATAGTTTTCAGGAGAGAAGTAGAGACAACAGTCCCATCGAGAACAGAACAGAACCTCAGCTGCTCCCCAAATCAGATGACTGGCTGTTTCTCTCGTGAATGAACTTACAATAATTCAGGAAGTTTGACAATACTTTATTTTTTTTCCTTTCTCATGGATCTGAAAAGAAACTCATACCAAAGAATTTAACTGTTAATATTTTTTTTTCTTTTTGTTTGTACTTTCTCCAAGAATTGTCTTTATTAACTCATGAACTTTTAAAAAGATTGTTACTGCAATGTTTAGTGGAAAGAAAATAAAACTTCAGATTTTTCTTTTATCCTCAAATCCAGTGTTGTGACATTTTCTTTCTTGATTTTGACATCTGAGAAAACCTGAGACAATATTCCTAAATGATCCATTAAAATTTACCACGGCACAATTTTGCTACTTTTAATAACAAATTGCGTTATAAAATGTACTTAACTTTTTGTGATCCAGCAGACCCAACTTCAACATTGAGAGGATCTCTTTAGCCAGGGATCAAGAGACAGTTCTGCCTTATACCAGTAACCAGATTGCAGTTGGTGAAGTGACACAAGGGTATTCAGTGACATGACCAAGGCTATATATGGTACTGGGTCAGCTTAAGGTCACACAAAGCCTGTTTTGGTTTTGGAAGGTCTGTCAACCTACTCCAAATATGTAGGCTTTTCTTCCATTGTTCATAAGCAAATTCATTGTCTAGCCTTGGAGGCCATTTGGATGAACATGTATTAAAATTATCCATTCTTACATAAATTATAAATCTTTAGTGTCACAAAAATTTTAAAATAGAAAAAAAATTCACTAAATTTTTGTTGCAGATCAACTACGAGCTCTGTTAATCCTCAATGAATCAATTGTAATTGCAATAAGGTAATCCTCCTGTTAGTCTGAATATTGACAACTGAACAATTTAACTATTCTCAATATGGCTGCCAGCATTTTATAGACACCACCACCTGGTGACACTAAACAACAACCAAAAGAAAAGGGCAATAATTAAAACATTAACAAATCTGATCAACATTCTTTTTTACTTGACTTGTTCCTTACCTCCTCTCCTAGCTCTGTCCTCTTGGCAATTCAGATCATGCTGTAGTATCTGTTGATATTTCTTTTGATTGAGATACTTTTCGTAACTTTGAGTTGCTCCTTGGAGCGATATTCTTAACCTTCCTATTGAGAATTGTGACACAGATTTCTTCTTGGGTTAAAGTCAGCATGGATGATTTTGTACCTTCTGAGAAATACCAGGTAAAAACCACAATCTTCTCCTTGGTTCACACCAGCCTGTTCAGCTGCTATAGCCCAAAGAAATCACTTTTCCTCCAAGTGTACAAATGTGATAATTCTGATCACAACAAACACTTATTTGTGCTTGCTTGCAATAATTGTAAAAGTGTACTCAAAGAGGCTAAGTCTTTGCTAATAGAGGCTATATGGTGCCTCATTCTAACAAATTTAGTTCATGTGACTACTGACAGTTCTGTAATAGTGTTAAATAAGAGTAAGTTTTCTATTCCTCCTCTCTTCATTCAATTTGAGGTGTTAACATATTCTGCTGATAAAGCAGAACGTTTTGCTCATAAATTCTCTTCCAATTCTACTCTTGACTCATCTGGAGTATTTTTGCCAGACTTTCCACTTTTCCATCTATAGCTTCTGCTATCATCTCTAAACTGGAACCCCACAAAGCATGTGCACTTGATGGTATCTCTGCAATAGTCTTTAAGAAATGTGCTCCTGAACTGGCTCCTGTTGTCTCTAAGTACTACAATAAATGCCTTGTTACTTCTTGTTTTCCTGCTTGTTGGAAATCATCTTCTGTATTTCCAGACTTTAAGAACTCTGATCCTTCTAACTATTGGCCTATGAACCATCTACTTCTTTGTGGCAAAGTACTAGATTTTCTAACTCTGAATTGGTTAAGCATCTCACCTCATGGTGTCTTCTTTCAGATAAGCAATACGGTTTTCGCTGCTCTAGGTTAACGGATGATGTATTAACGGTTATTGCTGAAAGAGTATATAAGAATGGTGAAGTTTGGGATGTTGCTTTGGATATCAAGATATTTGACAGGATTTATTATACTAGTCTTCTTCACAAGTTTATGGTATTTCTGGGAAAATTTTAAAAACAAATTCAGTTCTTATCAAATTACAAAATGAAAGTTGTCTTGAATGGCCACTCTTCTAGATCTTTTTGCATTAATTTTTAATTTTTGCTTTATCCTTGGACCTATGTTGTTTCTAATTTTCATAAACAACCTTCCTTATGTCATAAGTTCTCAGTATCTATGTTACTGATGCAATTATTTATTCCTGTCTTAATAGAAAGTCTGATCAATCTGATAAGCTCAAACTGGCAGCTGATCTCAAAACTTAACTGGAGCAAGGAATAGCTTGTTAATTTTAACAACTCCAAAACGAAACTGCACTCTTTCAGTCATCTGAGAGAAATACTTTTTACCTTCTACCAGCATGGTTGATGCTAACCTCCAAGGGTGTGGCTCATTACACATTCTCAGATTAACATTTTTTGCTGATTTGCTAAGATTGTATTGAATCAATTGCTAAGTCTGCAGCGAGGTTTGGTTTTGGTTTGTTTTACGACATATCAACCTCAATGGTTTATTTAATGCCAACAAGATTTTTATTGCTGGTAATATTTTTCCAAAAAGGTAATAATTTCTTCAAAAATGTATTGCTGCTAATATATTATATTTTCCAAAAATGTATTGCTGGCAATATTTTTTCTTCAAAAATATATTGCTGGTAATAATTTTTTTACAAAAATGTATTGCTGGTATTAAAACATATTTTTACACTTTCATAGTGTTTTGACCCCAGTTTGGGGGGGAGTGTCAACTATTTGCCCATAGCTAGAACCCTAACGCAGCACTTAAATACCATTTCTTTTAAGAAATGTAATTGGTTATTTGAAAAATTAATTTTGACAAAATAATACCAGGCATTTAACTGGCAATTATTTTTAAAAGTAATTTGATAGGTTCAGTAAGAACCAACCTTTTGAAAAAGTTCAAAATAAAACTACATTTCAAGTTTAAAAATGAAAGTAATTTTTGTTTCAATGCTGATTCTTCTAATATTTTTATTTTCAAAGTTTCCTTCTTCCAAATAATCTGTCCCAGAGTATTTGTCGAAAAAGAACTTAGAAAAAAAAATATATATATATATATATATATATATATATATATATAACTGAAATTTAAGTACAATTTACTTATTTTTGTTACTGGTTAGAGAATTTTTTGGTGCACCATAGATACATTTGTGTAATTATTTATCTCACTTTCTCTTCTAATTTGTAAATGTGGACTAAACTTGAATTTTGTCAAATAAAGTTTTTCTTTAAAATTTGAAAAACTTGAGGCATTTTTCTTCTTTTATATGGAATGTGCTTTCCATTTATGAAATGCACTTTCTTCCTTTAACATAGAGTATAATGGTATGAAATAAAATAAATCTAATGAATAACATGTGAGAACTATTATTTTTATTTAGAAGTAATCAATGTGTTCCAAGATAATACAAAATAAGCTTAATCATTAGAAATGCCTAAAACAAGAATAGTTTTCATTAAAAAAAAAAAAGAAGTAAAGAAAAATTTATTTCGGATATACAACTTTGATTTTCAAGTTTATTGCTCGCCAATTAAATATCATATTAACAAATTACGAAAAGATGAATGTTCCGAAATGTTAATGAATAATTTTTGCATAGATCATTTAATAAAATCTAGAAACTCTCCTGGTAAATTAATACATCTATATAAAGAAACTGTAGAAGAATAAAAAAAAAGAGAATTTTGAATTAAAATCCTGTAAACAATTAAGAGATCAAATATAAAAGACAAAAGTTTTGTAGTATACAGTTGCGAATTAGATAAAGTATTGAGTTATAAATACCATATGATTAATGCTATTTTGTAAAATTTACATAATTTTCTTAATGTCACCGAGAGAAAAATACTGTCTCATAATCCCATTATCCTGGAACAATTCAAGGGAGAATATAAAATATAATTTTCTCTGCAAATTATTCTATTCTTATTTTCAATTTTTCCTTCTTCCAAATGATCTCTCCCAGACTGTCAAAAATAACTTCTTTTTTTTTACATTTTATTTATATATATATTTTGAAATGTAAGTACAATTTAAACAAAGTGGACATTATTAACCTGAAATAATTTAAATGAAAATTTGTCTAGATTAAGTGACACCAGATAAACATTATCAATTATCAGATGGACAAAATTTCTACTTACCTGTCTACAGACTAAGGAAAAGAATCTATTCTTTATTTAGTATAAACAAAATTACTCAAGATAAAAAAGATAATACCCACCTGGTCTGATAGCTCTAAAAACAGCTCTGTTTGCCTTTAATACAGCATTGTAGATAATTTTTTGCTTGTCAGTGAATTTGCCATTAACAGGAAATGAACAAGTAATATCAGAGGCATAACCACCATATTCAGCTCCCATATCAAACAGACTAGTACAAAAGAAAGACAATGTTAACAGAGACTTTTGCTCATTTACATTTATGTATTTTACAGTAAACATGATAATAAATAATAAGTAAGGAAGATAATGTCCACCATTTTCTATTATCAAACTATCATAGATCTCTTGTAGTTCTCAATTTGATTTGTTATTGATTCCATAAATGGTCAAATAAAAATAAAATATTTAGCATTTCATAAAATGTTGCTTTTCATAACAACCATTAAATAAATATGCAAAAATATAAGAGTCAACAAAAAATATTACTTTCTTACCATATATCCCCATCATTGATCACTTTACTATTTGGGTTCCCGGCATGTCCATAATGGAGGATTGCAGCATTTTCTCCACTGGGCAAAGGAAAAAAAAAAAAAAAAAAAAAAAATAGAGAATAATTTCAGGTGCATTCCAAGTACAAGAAGTAGAATCCATCTCTGTTTTACCAAGTGTAAATTTCCTAATTTATTGTTGATCAGTAGTGTAACTGGAATGCAAACAAGAAAATAAAAAAATTTAAATAGCCAACTGTTTTTTCACAAATTCTATATATATTTGTGCTAATTTTCTGTTGGTCAGAGCAGTAGTGTATCTGGGATGCTAACAAGAAAATAAAAAAAAATTAGCCATTCAACTGGTTTCCACCAATTCCATCTTACATACTTTGTTCAGTTAATTCATATCAATCATTTTATCACTTGATATGCTTAGAGGAGAACCGACTTCCAAAATAAACACTGTATGATGAACTGATGCAAGGCTAATGTTGTGGTTAAATTTCTGCTTATTCATTTTTTGGATTCTGTGTCTTCTGCATTGAGATTTTCAAATCAGTTTTGTGTTGGGGTTTGGTCAATTCTGGTTTTCATCTGTTTTAATTTTTCTCCTGTTTAGGAAATTTCGGTTTGATGAGCAATTTTTCCCTTTCCTTTTTTGGTTCTTGTTTTCTTTTTTTCATTTCCTGGTTCTGTGTAAGTTTGATTTTTTTTTGATTGCTGAGTGGATTTGTTTTTTTGGAGGAGGTTGTCAATAGAATTGTTTCTTTGTCCTCTAAGATTAGTTTTGAATTCTTTTATAAACTTTGGCCAGTCATTTGGACTTAGTTGTTGCAGTCTTTCTATCATGGCTCTACATTTTTTTTTAACTTCTACATTTGAGTATGTAATTCTGCTCCTTTTATTACTTTCCTTGCTTCAGGGAATCTAAGGTTTCAGCTGTATTTTATTTTTCAATATTTCCTTTTCTTTTCTCCATGACTCATATATCCATGCATAAACCAAATGATTTCCACCACATTTTACACATTTAATTATATTCCAGCATTGATTGTCTGGATGGTATCGCTCTTTATCACCACATTTTGCAGACTTTTCTCCCTCTACATCTATCTTCATGATTCCCATACTTTTGGCATTTGAAACACCTTAAAGGGTTAGGGATGCAGTATTAGAATATCTGATTTTAATCTCTCTTTGGATTGTGAGAGTGTTGAATTTTATTATATATATGTGGGTTTGTATTGTTTCTCCATCTTCGTTTATAGTTATTCTTTTGTCACTGATATTTTGTTTTTTTAGGTTATTTTTTACTTCTCCAATGGAGCTGAGAGAGTTCTTTACTTTTCACTACTCCATTCAGTGAGTTTAATGTCGCATGTCACTATGCTTTTATCTTGTTTTTATAGAAAGTTGTTATTTTTAGTAGCATATCTGCAGGTTTTTTTTCAAGTTCTACCAGTAAGGTGCCATCTTTTGCTTTTGTTATACTTTCAGTGGTTAGGTTTGATATCTTTTCTATTAAGAATGGGGAGAGATTTGTTAGTGGAGTATCACCTGTTGATTCAAGAACTATGAATTTCAGAAAGAAATTTCTTTTTTTATTTCATTATCAGATTCAGTATGCATTCTCTTTGATTGATTAGTTATAGGACATATGCATTATCTTAGACTTTATCATCCACACTACCCAACCACCTCAGAGTCCAACAATGTGTTATGTCAAATGTGAAACCATAACAGAGCTAGCTGGATGATGCACTCATGTTTAAAAGCATCCTCAAGTACTCATAAGACATTAGTTCAAAATCCCAAGTATAGTTAGAACTTCTGGGGGTCCAAGTTGAAGTTTTGTACTTTCAATCCAATTGACCCTCCACCATCTCCTTCTAACACATATGAATAGCTCTTGTTGACTATGACAGTAAATTTATTAATAAAGCTATTAGTGGGTATAGTGTAGTAGAAACAGTTATGTATGTGTTAGAGCTTGGTGTGACAAGTTGATTGGTTGGATTGGGCTTCTCCATCTGCCCATCTAGTCCAAGTAAGAGCCAAAGTGGAGTCTTGTAGCACACATAAACATATAGGCATCTGCATCATGGGCTACTCAGCCACCAGGACCCACTTTCAGACATTATTGGTTACCATGCACAGCCAACAGGTGGCTCGTTTTGGGCAGGGGCCTTATCTCTCTGCATGGGGTTGCAGTCAGCACATTCTCGACTCCAACTGACAAGGCAAACATTTTTTTATGGAAATTAGTGTTGGTAAGTGCAATTACATAATTACTACAAATTTTAACAGTTACTAATAAGAAATAAACACTTACCTTCCACATATACAGCTATAAGACAGATAACGGCTTCCTCCAAAATAATATGAAAAATGATGAAATATGCTGGAAAGAAAGCAATCAAGGTCATTTAAAAGGCTAAGTGAAGAAAAAACAAGCTTCAATTTACCGTTATAAACTTAATACAAATACATTTGTTACCAAAACCTACTTTTTTATTACAGATGAATGAGATACTCATGTCAAAGGGGAAGGTATGCGATTTTATTTGGCAGTTTCAATGCTGTCATTGTTGTCAAACCTATCTACCAAGCGAGGCCCTGAATAAACACAAATATATTGAAAACCAGGGTTGTCCTCATTTTCTTGCCATGATGTTTATTTTCATCTTTTGTTTCATTGTGAGTTTTCAATGGGCCTTTCCAAGTTTTTGGTGCAAGTTCATTTCAACAAGGATGGAGACATAACATGGAGTAGTCAATGGGTGAGGGCCCCATTGTATGATTACAATATAGGCTTCTTTTTTCTTTAAAAAAAAAATGCTGGTAACATTTGTACACACCTTTATATATATATATATATATATATATATATATATATATATATATATATATATATTTAACAACTAAAGAGATTTGAACCCATTCCCTGTTTAAAATTATCAATTATTAAATACTTGATTACAATGGCAATTAAATCATATTAAACAATGCATTGTTAGATTATGGGAAAACGACATATACTTTATATATATATATATATATATATATATATATAAAATCAAGAACAATTTTAGGTTTATTTCTCTAAAATTGTTAAGTTAATAAAGAGTGTTACAAAGTAAAACGTTATTTGTTTTCTTTTTAAAATGCCATGTTTCTTCAGAACATAACTGATTATGGCTCTTCATATATTCCATTTCTTTAATATTATTAGTGAATGGTCATGACTTCTTGGGAAAGATACTGGAGTGATTAACTACTACTTTTTCAATGTTTGATTTCAGACTAGACGTTCTCCTTAACTGGTTACCACACAGGGTTAGCCCATAGCTAGGTGGAGAAGAGATGGAATCATGCTTTTCCCAAGGGAAAGTGAATGCAGTAGACTAAGACAGAATTTGAACTTGATACTCTGATTCCATTTGTCACACCAATAACCATTACTCTACCTGTACAAGTTTCAAAAAGGAAATTATATTTCTACAGCTGCTAGATGTCAGGATAGTAGATTCATTAATCAAATTCTTAATTTTTTTTAAATTACTTAAAACAGCATTATTAAATGTAATAGTCTTTGAATTTCTCAGGTTAAACTATTATTATTAGTAATTTTTTACACATTTTTCTTTCATCTTATTTCTATTGCTTTTTGATGAAGGAGTGTGGGTTTATCTGTTACATGGCAAAATCTTACTTAACTCCTGTTCATTAGCTTTTGTAGTGTAATTAGTAAAGTAGCATTAAAAGTAAGAGAGACTCCTAAAGATAAAGAGTACAAATCTCACTGGAAGCTTTGTGACAGACATAGTGAACCAGAACCAGAGTTAAATGGCAGAAATGGTGAACAGGATTTACCTTATTAGTGACGAAAGAGAGTTTGTCTTTGTCTGGCATACAGGACTTTGATTTGAGAGAAAGCGAGTACATGCTGGAACTAGGGTATTTAGGCATACAGATCATGTGCATGCAGCATAATTTGTAATCTATAAAAAACAAAGTCAGGCAGTGATTATTTGACAGTCAAAATGCCACTAGCACTATAGTGTCGTCCGAGAGAATACACCGTATGAGAGAGTTCCAGTGGCGAGTATGTTGCCCTGTCAAAAGAGACCTTTTTTCTTTATTGTATCACAAGCTATTTTGGCAAAATGGGGGACAAAGTTGGATTAAAACTCATCTCGGAGTTTGATGGCTCTACACCTGTATTGGAATGGGTGGAAAAAGTTGAATTAATTTGTCACCTGTGCTGGTTGAAATGTTGAGCATGAGATTCCTCTACAACTGACCGGCAGTGCATTCACTGCATATGAACAGCTTAGTGATAAAGAAAAGGAAGATCATGCTAGAATCAAGGTAGTGCTCTACAAGGTGTTTACCATTGACCCATGCATTTGTGACATGGACTTCGTGACCAGGTGAAAATATGGACATTTATTTGTCTGCAATGAAGCAGCTTGTGATCCTGTTTGGCAGCCTACCTGAACAAGCATTAGCAGGGCTCCCCATCTAAAGTAAAGCAATATTTACAGGCAAATTCTAGCGTGGACTCACTAACACTCGACAAATTATTGGGCCAGGCCAGGATTATACTAAAAGATGACTCTGCCTCAGAGGAACATATCGTTGCATCCACGCAAGCAAACCAAAATAGTGCTAGGGCTTCTCTCAAGTTGGGCCCATGCACTGGAATTGTCTGCTACAAATGTAACAGTCAGAAATCAAGGAATGTATGTGCTCTGTTCCCAATGAAATGAGGCCAGACTCATGGCTTGGAATGCCTGGGAAACGATATAAATGAGGTGTTGCCAGTCATCCAAATCCATGTCAATCAGACACCGTGCTTAGCACTCCTCAATTCCGGTTGCTCTCGTACTATAATGAGTGTGGAACTTTGCTGTGCTGGGAAGAGTAGCATCAGAGTGACCACCATAAGTGGTGAAATGTGTATGTTATGGGATGGGGGTAGTGAGGATCCATGCAGACACTGGGAATTCCACTGATGTCGAAGTGCTGGTGGTGCACGAGAAGCCATTAAATTTTGACCTGCTGCTGGGTTATGATGCCATCAAAGCCTTAGGTGGAACAGTGAAGTTTCAGAAGGAGGCCCTCATGTGTGCAGCACTCAAGATTGACCAACCTGACTTTAGTGCTGAATTCAACCAGTATCAGAAGACCTGGATTGCCTCATGGAAGTGTACAGGAAACAGGGAATCAGCCATGCTACAAAACCAAATAGCTGAATACCATGTGCTCGACTATATAAGACCTGCCTACAAAAAGGAGCTCATAATGGATTACTGGATGGTAAGCCAATATGTCAACACATTTATGGCTGATGCTGATGTTTGTACCAGTAAACTGTGTGAATGGCTTCAGCATGGATCTAATGTGTCTTTGCTGGATTTGAGAAAGGCCTATTTGCAAGTTTGAATCAGTGAGTCATTGTGGCCATTTCAGACGGTGATGTATGCTGATAAAAGGTACTGTCTTACAAGATTGAGCTTTGGATTAAATACAGCACTGCAGATAATGAAGGCAATTCTCAGTTATCAGCATACTTGATGACATTTAGGTGAATGAAGACATTGTATCTCCACTGCATGTAAGAGCTGAACTAGCCCAGCTTGGCTTGATCTGCAAGGACCTAGAATGGCTGGAAGATGACACTTGTTCATTGGGCTTGAAGATTGAGGTGAGCAAGGAACCTTGCAGTGGAGATGTGGAACTGCAGTTCCAGAAGTACCTGATGTCTTAACAAGACAAGCCATTTTTTCCCTATGTGGGAGGCTTGTGGGGCACCTGTTCGTGTGCAGATGGCTCCATGTAGCAGCAGACACCATGAAGCACAGAGCAAGTGCAGCCACCAAGGGTTAGGACAATGAGAAAACTGATGCTCTGCTTATTCACATGGTGACAGAGACCATAGCAAGAATAAAGAACAAACCTACCAGAGGAGACTGGTGTGTGCATGGACAAAAAATGAACCTGTGGGTCGATGCAAGCTCTCTGGTGATTGGTGTCTTGTTGGAGAAGGATGGAACTGCAATCAAGGACACTTGCTGGTTACAACTACTAAGTGATGTCACACATATTAACCTGGCAGAGCTGGACATTGTACTGAAAGGCATCAAATTGGCGCTCCAGTGGAGGGTTAAAAAGTTGCATATACAGACTGACTCCTTATGTGTATACCACTGAGTGTTGGATACCTTGACAGGCAAAGCCAGGGTGCACACCAAGGCAACTAGTGAGATGTTGATGAGGAGAAAGTTGGACACTATCAAGAAACTGGTCACTGAATATGATCTCACCGTGGATGTAACATTGACCTACAACCTTACTGACAGATTGACCTGGGTGCCACAAATGTAGTACAATGCCATTAAAAAAGAACATTGAGCCTGTACCACCAATATACACTGCTTCTATGGAGGAGACAAACGTGATAATGAAAATACACCATCGCAGTGGGCAAGAAGGACATACTATTTCATATGGTTGACCAATTCATCAGTGTCCACAAGTGCCATAGGGACTGGAGTCAAGGGATGCCAAATATGCCAGTCAACAGATCCTGCACCATTCAAATGGCAAACAGGGAAGCAGGGGATAAGCAGGCTGGTTATGGATATAACCCATTATGGAGGCCAGCATTTCCTTACACTTATAAATTGCAGACCCACCAAATTCATAGTCTGGCGACCATTGCTGCAGCAGGACTCTTCACCAGTTAGAGTCAGTGTTTTATGAACAAGGACCACCAGAGGAAATCCTTACTGACAACAACACTGTCTTCTGCAGCAGACAGTTAAAGCACTTCCTGGATGAATGGGAGATCCAACTTTGACTGTGATGTGCACATGTGCCAATGGCAAAGGCATAGTGGGAAAGGTGTCACCAAAGTAGAAAGCAATGTACAGTCATGAAAGTGGTGTACAGATATAACACAACATCAAAAGATGTTATGTCTACTACAAGTGTATCTGCCAATGAAACAGCTACCGAGTATGAGTCAAAGGGATGGATAACATGTATCTGCCTGATCAAAGTGCACAGACCACACAGGATTTGGGTAAAGTCTCCCAATAGCCAGTGTACCACCAACTTCAAAAAAGGGAATATCACCAATATTGTCAATATTACGTATTGGTCAATGGAATCCCACTTCACCCTGCCTTCGAAGCAACAATGGCAAGTGACAGTGAGAATGAATCATCTGAAAGCAAATTGCTGATTGAGCCCATATCACGGGAGATTGACATTCACCTGAGAACTCAACTACCAACCTTGACATTTCTTCTGTGAGCTCCTTTAAGGAAGATGTTCAGACAATCCCCCTTTGGAGGAGCACCCAAAACAAAAGACCACATCCACACTGTTATTTGTGTGATCTTGAGACCAGAGAAAGAGTGTATCAGACATAGTGAACCAGAACCAGAGTTGAATGGTAGAAATGGTGAACAGGACTTACATTATACCCAACAAAAGAGAATTCATCTTTGTCTGGCATGCAGGACTTCAATTTAACAGAAAGTGAGTACACGGTAGAACTAGGGTATTTAGGCATATAGATGACATGCATCCAGCATGCTTTGAGATCTATTGTTTGACAGTTAAAATGCCACTAGCATTATGGTGTTGGCTGAGAGAATACACCATGCGAGAGAGATCACCACGTCAAAAGAGATCTTTTTCTTTGTTGTATCACAAGGTTATTCTTTATATTCCATCAATGCTGCTTGATTAACAATCTAAGAGTTCGCATAAAAAGCAACAAAAATAAAATGAAAAAATATTGGTAAAAAATGAATAAATGTTCAATTACTGTTGGATATTCTCCCCTTAAAGATAAATGAACTGGAATATCTATGATAAATTTTATATTAACAAATAAATAAGAAATGAACGGTTTTGCAAAAATTGGATTATGTTATCAGCCAATGTAGGATTCATTAGCTTATCCAAACTTAAATATTCTTTTGAATGCTTCAATGAACCTGATAAATCAATTATGCTCTTCATCAACCAGTCAGTCACCAAGTTAAAAAATTGAAAAATTTAAATTTCAAGTTGATAACCAATTTATATTTGATTTAATACAATTTAAAAAAATGTTTCAACTGACTTACACTAACCTTATATCTTGAGCTCAAATAATTGCAAAATAAATGACTGCTTGGCTGTTATTGACTTCTATACACTAGTGAATGTATTTAATTATGCACAAAAGAATGCTAAAATTTTATTTTTATTATTTATTTTAGTTAATAATGAGAACAGATTAGAAATTTTTAAAGAGATTTGTTGATATGTTTATTTTACAATTTTAATTTTATTGCACAAAATTCATAAACTGTGCAAAATATTTATAGATATTTGTTGGACAAAGCCAACTTAGAAACAATAAATTTTTTTTTTTTTTTTAAAAGTAAGAAGTTTAGAATTTATAGAAATTTATATAAAAGGAGCATAATTTATAAATCAAATATGGGCATATCATTAATTATAACTAGTTTTAGGGTTCACTGATATTTCTATAGATTATACTGTGTCATTCCTAAATTTTAGGAAAATTATTAGATTTTATTATTTCTGTCAACTAAGATTTCCTAATTTGTACAATATTAAAAACTAAGATTTTTTAATTGGGAAATTCCAAAATATTAAAAGAGAATACTGAGAAAATGATAGAAAAACTTGCCAGACCTTTCCAGTTGATACTCATACATGCCAGGACGAATCTGACGCATCACCTTAAATATAAAGAAATCAAAAATTTTAAAATAAATGTGAATAATGAAAGCTTTTATCAAGTGATAAGAAGCACAGAATTATAAATTACTATAAAAATTTATATGTATATATTTGTAAATAGAAAGTAAAATCAATTATTCAGCTTGAACAAGAGAGTACACAGTTAACATGTTAGCCATAGAAACTCATGTAATTTTGACTTTATGAATATGTTATGACAAGTCCATTCCACTTCTCAGTTTATATACATTGAATTACTCAAGTGGATATATTTTGTACCATCAGGTCCATAAAAACTAAAGTTCTGCAAGTGAAATAATTTTAAGGAAATAGGATTTATAATAATTTAATTATTATACTTTAAACAATATGTGGTCAGAATATATAATTTTTAAATGATAAAAAAATATTGTTACATCATTATTAAATCTGATGAACATGAACTCAATTTTCCTAATCAATATCATAACTTTCTCACACAGAATACGGAAAGTATATTTTTGAATACAGACTCAAGACATACCTCTTTGTGTCCTTCACTAGACACTTTGTTTGTATAACGCAGAACATCCAATTCAAGGTCACTTTTAAAGACACGACTAAAATAAAAATGAAAAAAATCATTATTTACACTATGTAGATTTACTGATATATATAGATGACACCTTCATGCTTTGGCCTCACCAGGAAGCTGTACAAATACTACTGGATCATGTAAACTCAATATGATCTCCGATCCAGTTCACAGTGGAAGAAGAAAAGGATAATCAGCTAGCCTTCTTGGGTATACTGATAACTAACACAGAGAAGGGGTTCAACACATCCATATATCACAAGCCAAACTGTAATGGACCATACTTCAATTCCCATCATCCATACAGTGTGAAGAAAAGGGTCATCTGATACAGACCACACAAAAATTGTAAGTGGCAATCCAGATACATACCAAAGGGAACTGATCAGCATCAAGCATACCCTTCAGAATAACATCTACCCTGTAAACATGAGTGCCTACAGGTGGAAACAGAAGGGTCAAGGGGAAGGACCAGAAAATTGACATGGTCTGTCTGCCTTTTATCAAGGGCTTATCAGAAAACATTCAGAAGACCTGAAGTCCATACAACATCAGGACAATATTCAGAAGTAGCTCCAATCTACAGAGAAATCTCAGGGACATGAGGGAGAATATGACCCAGAATTGTGTGTACTCCATTACTTGCAGTTGTAACAAAGGATATAAAGATGGCTGAGCAGTCCATGACCTGAGTTTATATGTGACAGACAACACTCTTCTTTGGTTCTTGCTTGAGCTAGACAGGCAGTTGGTGAGGCCCAATCTGATCAATCAGCTGGTCATGTCAAGCTCCAACACCTATATAATTAAACCCAACAATGTCTCACAAAGGGATCACATGATCTCGCACCCAAGCCTTCATTATTTTAAAAATGTTAAAAGGCAGTGGTTGAGGGTCAATCAAGGTGAGAAGAAAAAGAAACTTTGACTACTGTTTTTCATATTAAAGCATCATTTATTTTATAGTGAATACCTCAAAATCCTTTCACAATGCAAGTATACTGGTCAATCCCCATCTCAACCAAGCTGAATGGGCTTAACCCCCTTTGGTAAATTCTCAATAGAAATTGGACTCTGCTGTGGGAGTTTGGGCACAGCAAAGGACCAATAAAAATAGCAAACACAAACAAAAAACACAAACAGAATCTGATTGATTCAGAAATAAAATCTGGAACTGAATTCCCTACATTAATCATCATTGAATCTCTAGTGTAACTCCTTCTAGCCAATCTGTCTCCATTCTTAAAAAAATAATTACCAGCAGAACAAATCCTCAGTGAAAAAAATGAGAAGTGGCAATCTACTTGTGAGCAATAAAAAAACATGCAGATAACATAAGTTAAAATAAAATATTTTCACAATTTAAAATGCAAAGCTTATCAACAAAAATAATTAACTTCTCAAAGGGAGTTATTAAAAATAGAGAGCTGTACATGGCTACACCAGTGGAAAAAGACACAGCCTTAAGAAAGTAAGGGGTCACCAACTATGGGAGGATAATCATAAGGGGTGATCAACAAATAAAACACACAGATATATATTTTAACTTTTAATAAAACCCTCTATCCAAAAAGAAATATAAATTGGATTTACGATTGAGAGGGTTGAATAATACATCCCTAACATCAGAAATATGAACACCACAAAATGAGCTGTAGAGGACACCTGATATATGGAAACTGTAGTCAAAAAGCCCCAGATCATATGGAAGAAGATTGCACTCATAATATTAAATGCTCTAATTGTCAAGAGAACCATCCAGCCTATTCAAAATATTTTTATATATATATATATATATATATATATATATATATATATATATATATATATATACGTACACAGATACATTAATAAATATACATATTATATTTCACTGATAGCAAAACTCAGAGTTTCATGCACAATGAAATCTTTCAGATGCTGATATGAACTGACCATTATGTAATTTGAATTTTAAAGAATATATCTGGTTATCACAATGCTAGCACAGTTATATATTACTGGGATTACAGTTTTAATTTAAAATAAATTTGGATATATATATATATATATATATATATATATATATATATATATATGTATGTGTGTGTGTGTAAAAAAAATAAAATAAATTTATTTTTGAGTTGTGAATATTAAGTTTTTAATTCAAGGGAGGTTACTTGTTCTTATTTAAAAACAAAAAAAAACAGTAATTTACATTAAAAATTAATCTGGATCAACGTATTTAAGATGTAACCTTCAATTCATTTCTCTTGTTTGGGTTATTTAATTGTTTTAAGATAACCAATTTTTCAACAAGACATAAGTTACATTTATTTCCTTTCTCATAAGATTTGGCTCTTACTACAGTATCCCAGTTGATAGAAGGGGAACTATCAACATTCTTTAATTGCCAGAAATATTTTAAAGCAGTGGTGTTTCTGTATTTTATATTACCTAAGTTATTCAATGATGGTAAAAACAAAATTTCCAAGGATTTTCAGTAGAACCAAAATAAAATTTTAAATCATTACCAGAATGTATGCTCCCTCAGTATACAATATTATCAACCATACATTGACTGATCATACATTGACAGATCATATTTATTTTTAGAAAAATTTACATTGTTTTTGTTGAAAATATATTTGTTTAATATAATGCGGTTATGTTGGGATATGCATTTGTCTATGTTATCAATGCAGCTATAGCTGATCTTAACATTATTTTGCTAAAAATAATCTTTTTTAGTGTTGGTGAATGGTTAAAGTGCTTATTTAGGAAAATTCTTCTGATATTAGTCTGAACATTACAATTAAAAGATGAATTAAACCATATGATATTGTGCTTAGTGTTTCTGTTTATTTTTACCTTCTTTTATCTTTCTAAATACTCTAAATTTACTTCATGATTCTTTAGTTCTTAAGCCTTTATATATTTAATTTCATTATTATCAAATATTTCCTTATTGCCGAAGTTGGTAGATAATCTAACTTGGACTGATTTATGAAAATTATCTAGAATTCTGTAGTGGTGGTTTGTTTTTTTACTGACACATCTATGGCTATATAGATCTTTTGTATATGGTTTATGATAACCATTATTCAAGTCTGAGGTTACAGCAAGAAAGTTTATCACTTTAGCATTGGTGAAAGCAAGAAAGAAATCTTGGAGGTGAAGTATAGAAGAGATATATAATTTACCAGAATCAAGAAAAATAGTGGATTCATATATGAATGGCCATACCTATGCCAATGTAGCTCAGAAGGTGAATTCATTTAGCATCAACAACAACAAAACAGAAAAATGTAGAGCACTCATCAAGCAGTTAGTGCAGCTAGGACCAAACTAGCCAAAATTCCAAGAACCACTAAAAAGAACATACACAGCTGAAAGCTGCCAAACAGAATTACTAAATAAATCAATAGAACCCATTTCAAACACAAATGCTATAGCTCAAATTCCAACTATAAAAAACTCTAAATCGCAAAGATCACCAATTTGTCCACCAAATTTTTTTTTAAAAAAGTATCTCTGGAAGAACCCATCCCCCTCATATGACAAACCAAGAAAAACAAATATCTCTGATACCCACAAAAAATAAATTTGTGGTCCTAAAGAGAATTGATGATATGCCGCCAAAAAAAACTAAAATAAAAAGGATAAAATTACTAAAAAGTATAAAACTCAAATAAAACTACTAACATGGGATATAGAATAATCTAATGGAACTGTCATGAATAAATTACAACATTGATCCTGCCATTATTTGTCTCCAAGAAACATTTCTAAAAAAAGACAACATTAATATTAGAAATTATCAACAATACAATCACAACCTCAGTGCCTCTGGAAGCATAACTCTCCTAATCAAAAATGATATACAGAACAAAATTGACCGACTAACACAATTGCAGGCAGTTGCCATGAGAGCCACTTTGCTTAGAACAGTCAGTATATGCTCTCTGTATACCCTACCACATAACCAGCTGGAAGATCTGACAAAGCAATTACCCAAACTCTATATTCTCCTAGAGGATTTTAATAGTTTAGCACCCCAACTACCACTTTTTTATCAATGTTGATTTTTGTGCAAATCTGTGCAAAAAGCAGATCACAGAGCTTATCCAGCCTCATACATATTTTCAGAAAACCTCAATTAATTGGTCAATAAACACACAAGTGGGCATTGCAATCCATCCACACACAAGTCTTTTTCCAGCGTGTGACCAAGTCAAATTTTCCTGCCAAAATCTGTCAATGCCTTTCGGAGCCTATCACATGATTACGTTGATTATAAATATCAGACACAAGTTTATTCTTCCCCTTTTTGTGATTACAAAAATGTAACTATTAAAGAAATCACGTTCCAACCCCACATGCACACATAACAAACAACAAGCAAGAATCAACTTATTACGAATATTCAACCACAAGCAACAGAAACTTAATTACAAACATATATGAACTTTCAACTAATCAACACATATGCGAACTTTCAACTTTTTCAGATTGAGACAAAAGAAAAGTCAACCAGACACATCACTGCTATGCTAAAGAAATTTAACTTTTAACAGTTTTTCCCAATTATTCACCAGCAAGCAAATTGCTTAAAGAAAAAGGTTTTTCCTGAAACTACAAGTTTACCAAACATATTTTCAGCTCTTCAGGATATAATTCAAGCAACTTTCTCACTGAGTTCTATTTAACAAAAATTTGCTTTTGGTGAACACTTTCTTTTAGCGGCAAGATTTACTGTAATTATTTTCAGAAGTACGAAAACTAAATTTTATTTAGTATCAAACAGAAACTTCTTGAAACATCAAGTAAATATTCAAAGTTCTATTTTACCAAACACATTCTTAAAGTAAACATTTTGAGTGGCATTCAACTTTTTATGAGCTCAGATAAAAATATTTCATTAGTAAAGACTTTAATTCCAGTCAAAGGGAAGTACATGATTACAGACATAAATATAAATATTCTTTGCTTGTTATAAAACCGTTTTGTGTTCCTTCTTGTTGTTTTTGCATTTGCTTACATGTT